GCGGTTGTAACATCGTACGTATTCGCAACATTTGTAAATCCGGCAGCTAAAATTGGTGTCATACCACCTCCCAACATACAATATAATCCGAGGGAAAGTAATGCTGCATCTCTTCTCCACATTGGCCAATTAAGAGGATCATTACTTGATTCTTCTGGTTGCGGATCCAAGACAGTTGACCCATCTTTGGTCAATTTCTTTTCCGACCGAGTTGAAGCTGCATGACTTCTATCATATGGAGTTTGAGGTGGAAGTGTAGATGTTGAAGTTCTAGCTGGGGCATTTCGTAAACCTAATGGTTCATTTCGTTTGCCTGTGAGAAGGAGAATCGAACCTGGAGAATAGTTTGTTAGATATTATGCGCACCGAGGGGTTGGCTGGACATCTTACCAGGAACTTCATGGGTATCTGGTACATTCAAAATTCCCATGCTCCATTTCGAAGGTCGAGGTACATCTGAGTCATTCAAATCTCCATCTTCCTTTTCATGTGTGGGAGTATCCGCAGCATGATCCCGAGCGGAAAATGAGTGTGGTTCAGAAGGTCTTTCCCGTGGAGAGATTTCGGCATGTGAGTCGTCGCCCATTTTGATGGTCGTAACTGATAGAGAAGGAAGGATTTCTATATCATATCCAGAATGTGGTGGTTCTTAGGAATCGATCGAAGAAAACAATTGGGGGCAAACGGGTTTCACCAGCCTTATGACGAGGCTGGTTGGAATTCACTAAGGTGTCGGTGTACTCGGACCAAACCAATTTGTAGTAAACAGATATTTGGAATGAGCAATGAAACCAAACACCCCCTCGGATATGATTATAGGTATTTTGCTTTATAGGACAATAGAGAAGAATGTAAGAAAGGTGTAGGTGGGTAGGTGGGTAGGTAGGTAGGTAGATAAAGTATGGAGGGGCAATGAGGGAGTCAGAATGTCAGAAAGCCGACTTCCCTCACATGCATATATAATAATACGAGTATGGGAAATGAAGATCTTTTTGGGAAATCGGAGAATTTCTCAAGCAACTATATACTTGTACAAATGAGATCCAAGCGATAAGGAAAAAGGAAAGAGCTTGGAAGAAATTAATATAAGAGATATACTTTATACTTGACCTAGTTACCTTGATGGTCAGGATGAGATGGTAAGGATGAGGGAAGAGGGATGAGGGGTTGGATGATCAAGAAATCGTTTACTCGTTTAATCGTTTAATCATTTTTCTAACCCCTTCATTTTTATTTAATTAGACGGTGTAGTGTTTGATTTTGGTTTTTGTGTTAAAGACTATCAACTATTTACTGTTTAGTATCTAGTACTTGATATCTACTCTATCTATTATTTAATAACAATATCTACTGTCTATTATTTACTAACAAAATCTACTATCTACTATCTACTATTTACTGCCAGTATCTACCATCTACTCCTACTATCTACTACTCACTCAAACATGTGTCTAGGTATCCAACATTCAATGACGACAAAATCACAACTTCAGCTCAAGTATTGAAGATTCATTCCGGTTAGTACAAGATCACTACATGATTAGTCTACCAACTATCGTCGAAAACATCATGTTGTGGCAGAAAAGAGGACCCTGAATTGTCAAAAGAAAGGTCATATGGGGTAAATAGAGCGCCACAGAGACCATCAATAGTAAAAAATGATGGAGACACAATGGCGGTGGAGTAGTAAGGTTAAGGATTCTAAGACACAACTCTCTAGGTATTCTGATAAAGAGGTAAAAGATAAGCGCCGCTCGAATTTAGAAAGTGGGAAAAGGATTTTGAGTGGTTGAAGATGTGAGGATGTTGTGCGCATGTTGGCTTGACTCCAGTTGTACTGTACACGATGACCAAATTCCAAGGTAGATGATGAATATACGGGGTTTTCTACTCAACTTGAAGTTAATGTTGTGATGTTGATGTTTGTGGTTGGAGATGATGATGGGGTTGTGGATAATGATGAGTTAGCGACGTTGCCACACGTACATGCAACCATGTAGGAGCTATTCTATACAAGGTTAAAAAAAGCAAACGGAGCTTATACAAAGATCTCTTTAGATCTTAAGCCTCATTCCTTCTTCAAGCCTCCCATTAAACCCTTGTATAGCTCACCTCACACAGTGTCACTATATCATCTTGCATCCATTTGGCATCCTACTTGCAGGGGGGATATCAACTAGGTATTCAATCATCTTGGTTACACCGTGCATCTTTGTCCCAACTCCCAAGTATTTGGCAGATAACGCGCGCTTCCCGATATTTACGCCTTTGTTGGCCAAGAAAGTCTTGTGAGTTATGAGTTGTGGGTTGGGAAGGCTACGATATTAACAAAATTACCTATTTCGTCTCGTCCGTACTTGATCTTGCCCAACCCAATAATGGGGTTATCCGAGGTTTAATCAATCTCTACGCATAACTGTTTTTCATCTCATCATTTCGTGAAGGACACACCTACCTACTACTACCTAGTAATCGATATGTTCAAGAAATGGAACTACATGTGGAAGTACAAAAGAGGACTTCTCTTCAAGTAATGCCTATCTTCAAATGCGCGATTTACTTGATTCATTCTGCATTATCGTCTGTACATGTACAATCACTGTACACAGTACAAACAATACTCCCATCTCGATTTACCACCCAAGTGCTCACTATCTACCTATCTATCTATTCTCATTTTCTTCCAACCCCTCTTCCAACCCCTCTTCCAAATCTTCTAATTCAAATCCTCAATGCATAGATAGAGTGGAACATAACTTCACAGTGGAGAATCCAACGTCCAAACCCCCAGCTGATCACAAGTCATCTGTTCTCCATCCATCATGCACAAGCCTGACAACCAGCTTCCTCCTTGTTTTTTTTTACTTTTTCGCTCACAGGCAGGATCCATTCTTATCCCCAATCTGACATCAATGCATACCCAGGTAAGACACGCCTGCCTCTCTATGCCGCACGTTTTCTGAAACCATCGTATTTGTGATACCCCAGATTTCCAATCATTGCCTTTCGGACAATACCGAGTCGAAATTTCCGGGGTAATACTACTCGTCTATCCTATGCGAGTGGGTATGGAGTAAGACTTGCCTCGAGCTTGCTTACTTTGATAAGATGTTCGTCTATTGTCTGATACTTTATTTGAGAAATATGCCAACGTAGAGTGGTTTGCAGTTTACGTTGGAGGTTTCAGCTCACATGCATTGCAGATACTGTAGGTATTTCACACGCACATTGCGTATGTCTCTATCGATGTTAGTAACTCTTTCTTCCGATGCTTTTTTGATTTATATGTAACATGAGGTCGAGTGATCAAAGTTTGTTCCAAGTTGTAGTCTTCCAATTTAGATGAAATGGTTTCTAACCGAGATATTTAGCAACTCGATAGATCGGTTTCTTGCATGAGAATAGTCCTGACTTTTTGAGCAACCAATAACGATTTTATTTCGAATCATGTCTCCCTTGATTCTTCAGTTGCACTGCTTAAAATACAACTTTGATATCTATAGTTTTGATAATTCGAGAGCTAGTAACTTTCCGAATGGTCCTATTGCATACAACTAAATCCCACGTTCATTCTAATCCTCGCCCCTCCAAACCGACAACCATCTCATTTCAACACTCTCATCACTTCATCCGTTCCACTACCTCTCTCTCCGTCGGAATGAAAATTATAAACTACAACCTCAATAGTTTCCGAACCTCGATGCTTACAGCTTTGAGCGATGGCCGAAGCTTCACATTACCTGATCTTCACCTCTTCTTCCCATCGACAACTAGCCCTTTAATACACACAATCATTCCAGAATCTTCCCATCCATCTATCATTCCCATTCAAAGCCTGAAAACCCCAATATAAACAAGTCACCAGAACATCTCACTATCTGATCTCCATCATCCACATCTCACGAACAACTATTCCCTAAAATCATACACACACACACTATCATCTGCTCCTCCTCCTCCTCCTCCTCCATCCATTCCCATCTCTCAATCCACGATCTGCGGTCTGTAAATCGATGAGTTGAATACGAATAATTCACGGGAAGAAGTTACATACATACACCATATTCATCTTTCCAGATCCTTTAGCCCGACGACTGATCAGTTTTCTTTAACACACACACCCATACTCTTCTTCAATCATCCCACCACACTTCAATTTCCTAACCCACGATGCCAGTTTGAAAAACTATCAGCAAAGCTTCGATAGCTGTCGGAAATACCTACCTACTCAAAGCAAGCTTATCATCCGCACCTCCAAATTATAAGAAATCCCTCGATCGAATCCCACTCATGTACTAACTCACATCCATTTCCATCACTTACCGATCAGCTACATAGCTATCATATCATATCGTATCGTATCAAATCATTCCCGATCACCATTTGAAATATCTCGTAACGAACCCTCTAGAAACCACAACTCATCCTGCATTCTCAGCTCTATACTAAACTCCATCCATATCTTTCTCCATCTCCCGATTCCCCAAGTTCCCAAACTTCCAATCCCATAAGTTTACTTCACTCACACATTCTTCTCGCGCTTTCTATTCTTATGCACCCCTTCCCCCTTTAAGTCCAAAAATCAAGGGTACTTCGCATCTTATCCTTCTCTCTCTGTTATACCACGAACTTCCCAACCCAAAAGTCATTTGATGTGAACCCCCTCTTGTTCTCATTCCACATACATACATATAAAAAAGCGTAGTCCAAACAATACAAAATCAGAATGTACGCTCATTCACAACCGTTGATAATTCAGATCCCACATGCAAACAAATGGACAAATAAATATGACTTCTAAAATGTGAAATTTAACATATTCTTGAACCTACTGCCTCGCTGAGATATCAATATATAAAAAGGATATCTCAAAGTCAAGCGAACCCAGTCCTGGTCCTAGTAGCTAACCATAAACTCCTGACACTAAAATTCCCTTTCCCTTTCCATTTCCCAGAGTCCAGGCTTCCAGAAACTCCTCGAACACAAAATAATCTCCAACCCTACGCTTCCTCCCCCACCCCCAACATCCCTCTTAATCCTCCCTCCACACCCCTCCACCACCTCCCTCTCTCCTCCAAATCATCTCCCGCGCCTCCAGCCCCCTCTTCCTTCCTCCTCTTCGCCTCTTTTGCAGCCGCTACACTCGTCATCCTCTTTCCTTCTAGCGGTATCAACTCCGCATTTAACCTCTCCGCTTCTTTAGTTTTTCTCGGAACAAGTACTTGCAGTTGTTCCAACTGTCTATCCAATTCTCTCCTTTCCTTTTCTCTTTCCTCTACCAATTCCCTCGTTTTATCTAATCCTAATTTAAGATTTGGATTTCCTGGCCCTTCACCACTCGATCCATTCTCTTCCTTTAAAACCCTAATACTTTCCTCTAGTCCCTCAATCTTCTTCGGTAATTCCTCCAATTGTCTCGTTTGCAGTTGGATATGTTCGTATTTCTTACACAACTCTCTCCCTCTTTTCTCCAATTCTTCAACCAGTTCTGCGACTTCGACTTTTTGGGCTTTGAGAGAGGTTTTGGAAATGAGCAGAGAAGCTTCTAAATCGATATTTTCTTGATGTTCGACTACCAAAGGGGGATCTCCAACGATAGCACGAATGAATTTTTCTTTGGTGACTTGTTCGAGATATGAAAAGCGAAGTTTGGAGAAAAGTTCCTGGTGGGAATTGTTAGTATATGCTTGGGGCTCATATTATATCTCCATGATAGATAGCTTCTCTGTTCTGTGCTGTAATCGCTTCTTCAATTATTCTGCCTCCACGGCAGTGGCCCCCGGAGGACCAGCGGAGAGTCATTTGTCTATCAATGTATGATAGTTCAAACATCTACCTTCGTATCCCTCGTCTACCAAATCTAAAGCTCCCAGATGACCAGTAGAGCACGTCATTAAAATTTAATGATTTATGGGGGCAAGCCCCCAAACCCCCATAGCTCGCTGCGCTCGAGATCTTTCAAATATCATAACCCAAGAAGAGAAAAGGAATGAAACAAAAGCCAGGAGAAAAAGAATATACCTTGTAATGCGCCAAATCGGCTTCTAAACTTGCAGGGGAAGGACTCTCAAGAGTATCTGCGGCAGAGGCATTGGATGTACGAGATCCAGATTTTAAAGGGGCGGAAACTGGTTCGGAAAGTTTGATGATACTTAGTTCGTGGGATTTCTGGAGTTTGTGGAGAGTGGTGAGGGTGCTTTGGGGTGAATGCGCCATGGCGAGAGGAGAAGGAGAGTTGTTGTTTGGTTGTTTTTGAGGGCCGTTGAGTCGAGACAGGTTTGGAAGAATGCCAAAGTCTTGTAGAATGTTGTAGAAATCTACCTTTATAGATGAATGTCTCTGCAGTTGCTGATTTAGTTTCTTTTGGAGATTTTTAATCGGAGGGGTGTCTGTCGCATCGCATTGTTTACTTTGAATTATTCTGCCATGCGGTGACAATACGATATAAATTCACACCCCTTTTCGGATATATTCTTTCGTTTCTCGTATCAATCACTAACAAATGTTCTTAATAGCCGATGGAGATGTCAATATATCATATCTTCGAAAATACGATAGCAACCACAAGGCTCCAACTTCAAGATCACCTAACTGTACATACTTCTTCACATTTTATACGTTTCAAAATATCTCAATTCACTTTTTTTTGGCTCATTATTTTGCTTCGGCTGCCTAGGTATCTTATATCTATAACATTACACTTGATAAATATTATAAGAATCACAATAATACCTACAATCCACATCTCACATTATCACCATCAATCCTACAACTTCAGCCTGACACCATATCATCGCACAATCCACCACGACATGGCAAACGATACCTACCTAACAGACGACTATGTCGCCTCCCTTCTTGCCGCCGACGCGAAATCCAGTTCTATCAAATATTCATCCATGGGTCTCTCAGCCTACGCCCCCTCATCCAAACCACCTCCCAATAAACCCAAACCCAATACTCGTTTTTTGCGAAATATTATCAGAGATACGGATAATCACAATAGCGCATTATTAGCCAAAGAAGCTGCGGAGGCAAAAGCTAGATTGGAGAGTTTATCAGGTGGAGCAAGACAGAGAAAGGTTGCGCCGACGGATATTAGGAGGAGGCAATTGGGGGATATCAAGGCAATTTTAGGAGGGCCGGTGAAGAGAAAACGGGAAGGAGAAGATGCAGGGCGGGGCAGTGGGAAGAGAGAAGATTCGTCGCGCACGGGAGAAAGTGCAAAGATTCGGAAAGTGAGGGATGAGGAAGATGGCGATCGCAGAAGGAATAGGAAAGATATCGATATTTCTGCGGAATTGATAAGTCATCGAAGGAGGGAATCGAGACGCGGTGAAGATCGAGGCACAGATGAGGAAGTTGATAGAGAGAAACGAAGATCTAAAGACAGGCGGAGAAAATATCAAGACGATAACTTGGAAGAAGATCATCAATCTCAACGAAGAGAACACAGACGAAGAAGAAGTACTTCCGAAGATCGAGAGCGCACAAGGGACGAGAGGAAAAGATATAGAGAGAGAGACAGATCAGGTTCACCTCGAGAACTTCGAAGTAAAGACTCGACTTATCGAGATCGATCACCCCGTCGCTCGCGAAAACGCTCCTTTTCACCACCTTCAGAAGATGAAGGAAAATCTTCCTCGAGATCGCATAAACATTCCTCATCCCGTTCCAAGCGCCACCCATCTCCAGACGCAGAATCATCCGACTCCGACCCTCTAGACTCAATAATTGGACCTCGTCCCGCCCACGAAAAACAACCTCTTCGAATCCGTGGTCGTGGCGCTATATCCCTCGGTTCTACATCAATGGATTCTCGATTCCACGCAGATTATGATCCGAAGAGTGATGTACAACTCGAAGATAACCTTGACAAGGCAGGAGGGGAAGGAGAAGATTGGGATCAAGCATTAGAAGCTCTACGCGATCGACAGAAATGGAAAATGCAGGGCGCGAATCGATTACGCGATGCGGGGTTTTCGGAAGAGGAAGTTAAGAAATGGGAGAGGGGAGGTGAGAAGAGGGAAGAAGATGTGAAGTGGAAGGGGAAGGGAGAGGGAAGGGAATGGGATAGAGGAAAGGTTGTGAGGGGTGATGGGACGGTGGGATTTGAAACTGGATGGGGGGAGGCGAAGATGGAGGGGGCTTTGGGATCTAGTATAGATGCGGAGTTTGGGAGATTGAAATAGAGGGGGAGTTGGAGAGATGGGGGGTTATTTCGTGCGTGGCAAATTCCATGGGTCGCTGTCGAGGAATTGGAAATGGAGATAGAAATGGAAATTTGAAATTGGGAAGGGAAGAGAAGAGAAATAGGAATTGAACACATGATCACGTCTGTTTTTGGAAAGGAAAAGGGTTTGGAATACTGGGATACTGGGAATTGAGGAATAGGGGATGGGAATTGGAATTGGAATTGGATAAGAATGAGAATCGATATAAGGTGATTTCTATAGATACTTAGATATTTCAAACAAACATGATAATACAAAAGAAATAAACTCAAATCCGTAACCTTTTCCTTCCCTTCTCATAGAGTAGAGTAGAGTATTGTTATTATAAACTTATGATTTATATATTCTATATCTATCTATCTATCTATCTATATCCATCTAGATAGTATTTAACTCTTAACTCTTAAGATAAATATTATCTCGTCTAACTATCTATCTTAATCCTATCTATTTTGATACTACTTTCATACTATCGATCGATAGATATTATAAGATAGATCTTACTAGATATAATCAAATAATATAATCAAGTGAATTAAAAAAAGATAGGATGAGAAATAATATATCTATTTAGATAGGTATTTAAATACTCTATAGATATCTAATAGATAATTAGAAAAATAATTGAATATCTAGATATATTTAGAAAGATAGTGAAATAGATAGATAGATATATAAATACTAGGAATATAGATACTAAACACTTATAAGATACAATAAATAAATATAGTAAAGAAAAACTCGAGTATAAGATATCTGTTTTCTCTTATTCTTTCTCTTATTCTTTCTCTTATTCTTTCTCTTATTCTTTCTATTTTACTCTAAGCAATAGAACTTTAAAAAGAGAAAATGAAATAAAAGAGATGAGGGAGATGAAGTAAAGTAAAATAAAATAAAATAAAGTATATCCTCAACATTATAATATTCCACTTAATAAACAAGTACCTACTAGATATATAATCATTCACAAGAAATGTATAAAATTATTCCTATAAAAGTACTAATAGAGAATATCCTCTCCTCTCATTTCATCCTATTCATCCCACCCATCCCATTTCATTCCCAACTCAATTCATCCCAACTCATCCCAACTAATTCAAACTAAAAAAATTCCATCTCCCATCCTGAAACTCCTCAAGAAACATAGATAGTATTCCACCCACGAACCAAAGCCAAAATCATATTCATACCCATAACATAACGTAACATCCATATCATAGATATTTAGGCACCCATCCCAATACGCCATTCATCCACCATAAAGACGCCATAACTACAGCCAACCTTAGAAATCCAACTCGCCTTGTAAACACATTAAGCACTGGTAAATACACGTACATACATCTGAAGGCTTATCCCATATCATAAGCCCGCACTCCGAGTCGGAAGATATAAAAGTATCTTTCAACTGAAGCGCGTTTGTTCGACGTAAGTCTCAAAATGCTCACCAACTTCATTACCATTGGAAGCAATGGCGTCTGATTATCATATGATTATCATATGATGAGTAGAGAATTGATAGTTATAATCAGAATGTTCCATATCCCGTATCGGTATAAGGATCATAATCAGGCCAAGTTCTCTTCACCCTCTTAATTAAATTTGCATTGAGTTTAACCCCTGTGAAATTACGTGGAAGTGTTTGGCCAGCTCTGTATTGATTCCAATGTTAGTACTTCTGAAATTGACATGCACATTGCATCGCATTGGAAACAAGGGTTAGGGTTAAGTTTAGGGTCAGGGTTAATCCACTTACAGTAACATATCAACCTTGATATTTCTCGCTTTATCCTTCAAACCAACCTGAGTGATGTTATCGCGTTCGAATTCACCGCGTTTTTCAATCTCTGACCACCACGGACCGAGATCACCAATGTAGTCAATAAGAAGTTGTGTATCTTCATCAGACCATGGGGTACGAGTTTGTGATACACTAAAACCATTCTTAATTGCTTTTGCTCTTACATTTTCTAGAGCGCTGGCTTGGGTAAATGAATGTGCGACAGTGCTTGGAGGATCTTCCAGAGGTAATTGCACACTACCTTCATTATCGTCTGGAACTTGAGGTGGTCGAGATAGCTCTTCCCTGTGTTGTATTTCCTGTTCTAGGTCTTCTTGATTTTGTTCGTCATCATCATTCTCAGGGGCTAAAATTGGTGATGGAGATCTGTTTTTACGAGGTGGAATCTGTGCTCGAGAGCTTTCACCAGCTTCGGTATGCGCTTCTTTGCTACGTTGAGTCTTGGGTTTAGGTAAATTTTTATCGGCTTCAAAGCCTTGGTCCTCGCTATGATTGTCATCATCTGACTGGACTTCGGGTGATGCGGAGGTTTCTCCTGAATTTTTTCTTCTGGGCGAATCTTGCACTCGAGAACTTTCACCTTCTTCGGTACGTGCTCGTTTGCTGGGCCGGGCTGAAGATTTAGGTGCAGCAATTCTACGCCCGGGTATCGTTTTTCTTTCGTCGGTTTCAAAGTCGTTATCTGAGTTATTGTCTTTATCATCCGACAAAATATTTGCGTCGCCGGCTTTACGCTTGTTGGTTTTTGGTTGGGATACTTGAGGTAATTCATCTTCCACTTGAAGGTTTGGAGGAGGGAATTTGCGCTTGTTATTTCTAGGGTGAGGTGGTTCCGGATCATCCGCCTGAGAATCTATAGGGAACCCTTGACTGTCCTCCTCCCAACCCACTTTTTGGGCATTCGAGTGCTTCCTATACATCCCACTACGCTTTGTAGTAGCCGTTATCAATGGACGACCTCGAGATCTCTGGGGTTGTTCAGGACTTTTATTTTCTTTGTTCTGGGAATCGCTGTATTTCTTGAAATATTGGGTAATTTGGGAGTCCTGTTTCTGCTGTTGTGGTTGTGACGAAGCTGGAAAGCTAGAACTGACTTCTATATCACCACTTTTCCGACTTCCTGCCATCTTTCTGAGACCGACAAGCTTCGTTATAGCACTCGGGTTGTCATGAAAGCTAAGAAATTGTTAGCGAGATTTTGTTTGAACTATTGGAATGTAAAGACAAGTCTTGTATAAAAGGTGAAGAAATTCTTACTCTTTTCGTTTTTTGGGTGCGGATGCTTGACGGTCCCTTTCCGAGATTGTACTATCGTCATGTTCTAATACTTCCGGCTCGTAGTCTGCACGAATCTCGGGTTCGGAGTCGGGTTGGCCACTTTTAACGGTTTCTTCTTCGGCATCCGATGGAATATCTTTAACAACTTCTTCAAATGGCACCATCACATTATCAATACCACCTCTGTTGTCTACGATCATACCTACCTCAAGCCAGCGCTTTTCGCCATAATCGACAAGGTCATTGAAGAATTTGGATCTTGGAAATGATTTATTCAAGCGCTCAAAGTCGACATACCTACCCGAGTCCTTTGCTTGGTCTGGAGGCAAAAACATGCTGTGGATAATGTCCACCCTCTCGCTGGTTTTGATGTCTTTTTTCTTTAAACCACCCTCAAAGCAAGAATTTAGGAGTTCAGTAGCATTGAAATTCAGGCCGGGTTCTAACTGACGAGCTGTAAGTTCAAAAAGCTGGGTTCGTATCTCTAACATAATAGCGTGAGTTTCGTTGATCAATCTACTGCTTTCCGATCCGAGATCCGTAGGCGCTGCAAACTTAGACACGAATGGGCGAGGAAACATTTTCTCTAGAGATTGAAGAAATAACATCAAATCTTGTTGCGAAACTTCATTATCCTCACGAAGTTGAATAACTTGGCCCAGAAGAGTTGCAAGATTCGCTGATTGAAGAATTGCAGCAAAAGGAGTAGTCCAATCACCGAGATCACTTGAGCCGAGACTTGCAGCATTTAATGCCCCAGAGACCTTTTCCAAAACGATATCAACCTCAATAAACTCCTCTCTTCCATATGGCTCTTTATAAACCTCAAGTCCATTAGAAAGGGATTCCAAAGCTTTAAGATGACGACCCATTTCTTTAGGGCGAATGTCTTTTTTGGTAGATTTGCTGATAATGCTTTGAGCCGTATTGTAAAGATCCGGGAGGGTCTCAATAGCCGACCTGGAATGGATTATTTGCATGACCCGTTTTGTATGTGATGTTGTACGCGTATCGTCTGAGAACTCGCTGTGGTCTTCATCTTCTGAATCGTATTCCTGACCACTTGCGACCTTGGTTGTGTCAAGATCCTCCTCCTCTTGGTCTGCCACCTTGGTAGCTTCAGGATCCTCCTCCTCATCGGCCTGTTCACCAGCTTCAGGATCCTCCTCATCGTCGGCTTGTTCACCAGCTTCAGGATCCTCGTCCACCTTGGCCTGTTCAGCATCTTCCTCCTCGGATGAGACTTCTCTGTCTTCTGCAACCATCGACAATTCTATATTTCGTAAGCAACAATTAACAAATATAATGTAAAGGATGCTAACCTCTGCGAACGAGTGCTTGTTTGCGAGCAGCTCTGCGACCACCCCTAGAATCCTGTTGCTCATTTTTATCACCCGTACTCTCAATACTTTCTTGACGAGGTCTATGAGCATCCAAGTCTACACTTTGGCTACGAGTTGTTCGCGTGGTTCTTCGAATCGGACTTGCGGGTTTGGTTGGTGGTGAAGATGGGAGGTCTCGCGACACCGACCGCGCAGATGTTCGAGCCATCTCGAATATCCTGATACGACGATCAAAGGATTAACCGTACCCAAAGGAGTGTGGCGCAATAGGATTTATATCTTATCGTGAATGTTGCGATGGTGTTTGTTAGTGTAGATGTGTGGAGTTGATATTGTTGTGTGGATGAATTGACGCGTTTTGTGTTGTGTTGCTGGGTGGAGATTGTGGGTGAAGGTTGCAGTAGGAAGTGGGGGAACGACGTTGGACCTGAAAATTGAGGCTACAGAGTCGCGCAATCACGTGCTAGACATTCTTCTAGCCTTTTTGCCGTGGACTGTTCAAAAGCAATGTTAACCTTGGAAAGGTGTAAAGGTGTACATTGGGTAGGGATAAGAATTCGACAGATAGTTCTCAGACAAACCACTTCAATATCGAAAGAATGAGAACAAAAAGAATATCAAAGCAAGTTTCAAAGGAATCATAGATACCTAGATGTGTACCATGTCAATCCAAGTTCTGTAGAGTATTGCTTTGTTAATTTCTAAGAAGTCAAATACGAGAGAGAGAGAGAGAGGAGAGAGAGAGAGAGAGATAGTAAGGTACCTGGATAGTACAATTTCGACGAATATAGGAAGCTTTTCCATTATTTGATCCAGTCAATTCCACTCTCCAATTCTACGTACATCTACCTGCATTCTACCTGCATTCGTGCTTCCAAAGAATGGTCTAGACGAACCAATATGTGTAGAATGCAGATAGAGTTCTTACCCTTACCTCTTCAATGTCAATCATGACTTCTTGATTGGGACCTTGGATCAGGGGAGGGGGGATAACTGGCTAAACATCTGAGTATCTTCTCCTGAGAACCTTCAACTTATCTAGATGTTGTATTTGGAGTGTTGCTTTAATTGTATACATTTGTTGATCGACCTGAGCATTTGTCACGTGTGATATGAATAATTACATGTAACATATTCTCTCCCATTCGCATATAGTTCAGGGGTTCACCGGTATCCATCTTAGATCTTCCTTACCAAACGCCTCAACTCAACGCCTCAACGCCTCAACGCCTCAACGCCTCATATTCTCCCCTATCCATCTACGGAGAAGTCCAGTGCCCAGTCACGTGCCCAGTGCAGGTGTGAGATGAACCTTGAGACTTTATGGGTCCAGAAGAATCCTCCGAAGCCACCCAACAGGTATCCCTTGGTCTTGCACTTCCCAAAACCGCTAAAATGTTAGAAAACGATATCTATTTATAAATATTGCTCCTCATACCAATCAATTGAACCAATCATCATTCAAGCTGACTACAAAAGCATCAGCCACAAGGAAAAAGCGGATACCTTTTCCTTCAGGTTTCCTCTTTCGGTGCTCTGAACAAATATTATCGTATCCATGGGTTGCCGGATTACCTTGATACATCCCATCGTACGAATTCGACTATTACTACTACTATCTGAAACCTTCTTCTTCTTCTTAATACACCTTTTTATTTTTCATCCCAGACCTCTCGTTGAAATTTCAATTCAAGGTACGACTTGATCAATCTCCCAAGAATCATTAACTATTGAACTTACATTTAAGACCTACTAGACACGTCATTGGTTCTCTTTCTCATACAATTCCCCCATTGACGCCTTACGCACCCTCACATCCAACAACACCTACTACCTAGTATCTATCCCCTGATTACACCTCTTCTACACCTCAACTACCTTCTGATTACATCTGCCAACTTCAATCAAAAAACATAATATTCAAGATGAGATTCCGGAGAAAGCAATCCCCTTTGCTTCTACTTTTATTGCCATCATTGGCTCTAGCTCTATCTCCTGCAGCACAAGATAATATAGCTGCCGTTTCGAAAGATACCGATGCGCAAACAGGAAAATTGGACAAGATTGATCCATCAGCAGCTGTTACAACTACCGTCGATAATAAACCATCATACGGACTTGGTACGAAAGATGCGCCCGTCGATGGTAAAGATGGAAAACCACATGCTGGGCCATTTGTAGATACCACCAAAAAGGATCCCAAGAAGGACTCTACAACAAGTGAAAAGGCAGATGCTAAGGATTCAAAAGATGCCAAAGCTACCAATTCTAAGCTTAGTGATGGAGAGTTGGTCCCACCTACAGCCAAAACAACCAAAGAGAAGCCAATGCTTGATGCCCATGGCAAAGAAATCCCCCAAAGCAACGATGGAGTTATGAACGATCCAGGTAGAGAGGCACCTAAACATGGCACAACTGGTACCGAGGGAGGTGTGAGTGAGAAAGATAAGACGCGAAAGGGTCAAGAAAGCCAAACGGGAGAGAAGGTTGAAAAGAAACCTGCATCACCTAAAGAAGCACCACCGATACCTCACGATACCGAACAAAAAATTCAAGGCGACACCAAAGATCCGCAGAAGAAAGATTCGACGATCAGAAAGGGTTCCGCTGATGATAAGGAGGCTGGCAGCACTGATAACTTTGGATTGGATAAACCTACAGATCTTCCAGACAAGACACACAATGATCCTCATCCAATTCCTAATTCTGCCAACAAGGATCATTTAGATGTTACAAAATCCGATTCAAAGGGCATTCCAAAGCTTGAATTAGAGGGAGAGGGCAATGATGGTCTTATTCAACCTTTACATTCATATCTTCTTTCACTTACAATGATTTTATTCTCTGAAATCGGAGACAAAACATTTTTAATTGCAGCATTGATGGCGATGAAGCACGATAGACTTCTCGTATTTTCCGCCGCCTTTTCCGCATTGATTGCTATGACAATCTTGTCCGCAGTATTAGGCCATGCAGTACCTACCTTGATTCCAAAACGATTCACCAATTTCCTAGCTGCAGGATTATTCTTGATTTTCGGAGGACGTTTATTGAAAGAAGGTTTAGCCATGAGTCCAGATGAGGGTGTAACTGAAGAAATGAAAGAAGTAGAAATGGAACTCGAAGAAAAAGAACATCTTGCAAAACAACAGGGAAGAAGACGTTCATCAGTTTCTCCATATGCTTTGGAAATGGGTCTTGGAGGAGGGCAAAGAGCAAGCACAAGAAAATCTAGATCAGGATCACGTCTTCCTTCTCCACCAAGAAGTCCTTCAACTTCTTCAGATCGATCCCCTTCTCCCAAGAGATCAACATTCAAAAGTGCAGCAGGAGGCTTGAATAACCTTCTTTCGTTATTACTTAGTCCAGCATGGGTTCAAACTTTTGTAATGACTTTCCTCGGAGAATGGGGTGATAGAAGTCAAATTGCCACCATTGCTATGGCGGCTGGTCAGGATTATTGGTGGGTAACTGGAGGAGCAGTTAGTGGACATGCAGTCTGTACTGGTGTAGCTGTTATTGGTGGGAGAGCTATTGCTGGCAAGGTTAGCTTGAGAGTTGGTAAGTTTCTTCTTTTTGCATTATGCTATCATAACTTAAACTAACTGTTTTGCAGTAACATTAGGAGGCGCAATTGCCTTTTTGATCTTCGGAGTTATCTATCTCGTCGAGGCTTTGTATTATGCTTAGGGTGAAAAACCGGAACCCTTTTTCTTTGAGTACTGGAGGACATCAAGATCCTATGTAACAAGATTCAATTCATTCGGTTCAATTTTACCACCTTCACTTCTTATCTTGGTCTTTCACTTCGGAACCTAAACTACCAATTAATACATTCCTTTTGCATGCCTCTTTATGCCATGAGGATGAAGCGATTTTTTCCTTTTTTTTCTTTTTCGGGGGTTGGTTGGGTTTTGGTCTAGGAAGCGAATGCACAAAAAAGGAGAAGGAGATGAATGGGAGAAAGTTACATTACATTACAATACTACTTCTACTTTGTTACTAATACATGAGGGATGGATTGATGGATGGATGGGTGGGGATGAATAGGTAAAAGGATGACCTGGTTCGTGATGGAGGGTATGGAAAAGAGATACCTAGTATGCATTGTCATTGTACTCTATTTCTATCAGCGACGTAATGGATGAGATGAGATGAGATGATATGGATTCTGGATGGATATGTCTAGATAATAGAATAGATATGATTATGGAGAGGATGGGAGAGGAGAGGACAGCGCGGAAATGAAAATTTCAATAAAAGGGATCTTATGCGTAGATGAACTGAACTGAACTGAACTGAACTGGATGATACTGTACTGTAATATATTATATTATATATGTATATATTATGTAGGTAATCAGATGATTGATTAGAGCGAGGAGGGAAGGGGAGGGAAGGGAAGGGAAGAGAAGAGAAGAGAGAGAAGAGAAAGAAAGAAAGAGAAAAGAGAATAGAAAGTTATTCTGTATATCTATTTAGGTATAGGTACTTGAGGAGGGTTTCTTGGGTGGTGGATGGGATGTTATGGGATGATGGATGTGATGGGTGTGATGGGTGTTGGATGTGTTGGATGTGATGGGTGTGATGAGTATTGGTATGATTAGTGTAATGGATGTTGGATGTGATGGGTGTAGTATAATGGACGTGATATAACGAGTGTGATAGATGTGATATGATATATGTGATGTAGTATAGTGAAAATATAGTATTATATTTTAGAATTTTATAGTGAGTAGGTATTTAGTATCTAGTATTTAATATTTAGTAGAGAGGGGGGGATGAATAGATGAATAGATGAATAAATACGAGAGGTGAGAGAGTTGGAATATGAGATTTATACCTCGGTTGAGTATATCATATTATACAAATTATCGTGGCGCTGAGTTAGTAGTTTATCTAGATAATATAAAAATATAATATAATAATATACGAGAAATTAGTACTCAATCTTAATATTACTCAATTAATATATTTCATATTCCTTTAGATATTGAATACTAGATAGATATTTAATATAATAAATAGATAGATATTATATCATATTATATTCTCTATTTCTATTTCTATAACTAATTTCATCTCTTTTCAAATTCCATACTTGAAATTGTAATAGAATATTTAAATGTATCTATTTGTTATCTATTTAATTTCTATATTATACTCGTTTATAGTATTCATATTCATATTCATGTCTTTATATATCCCACTAAATTAGGTTTAGCTCCGCGGGGAACGAAAATTATGTCATAGTGTCATAGCTACGAGTTTGTACCTAGGTAGCTATGAAGTAGAGTAGTAAAAATACTTGAAGCTTGATTGATTGATTGATGAAGCTTAATATCTATCTATTTATTTATTACTCTGTTCGATTGATATTTTGTTGATATATCTATTGTATTTATTTGTTATTGTATTTACCATCTAATTATACGAATTGAATCGAATCGCATATAGAATCTCGAGCTCGGGAATATATAGCTTGAGGAGGAATCGAGGAATCGAGGAATTTCTGGATTTTGGATTTTGGATGTATATTGTATCGAATTGAGGATCGAGAATCAAGAATCGCAAAGTCAAACTTCTAAACTTTCAAACACGCGATTGATAGAAACATCAATAAATTGTACTTATATCAACATATACATACCTACAACACGAAACGATACGATACGATATCACAATGACACCATCAAATCTCAAACACATACCACGTTCGCTTTCCAAGCGCTCGTCATCTATCTCTAGAGCTATATCTGTATCTCTATCTATCTCTCCATCTACATCTACATTCTCCCGCACAAACTCGCGGAGACCATTCGCCAGCACCGCTTCGAAGAAAGATCAGAATCGGATATATTCTGCGTATGTGATGTTTCCTCTTTCTCTTTCTCTTCCCATTCCCATTCCCATTCCCATAACAATAAAATCGAATAAAGTTACCCAAGCCCTAACCTCAAAATAGAGTCCGCTATCCCCACGACCTAGCTACATACATCAGTCTCAGCACTTCCAGCTCCAAACCCCTGTTGACGCTGTGGACCACAAGCTACTGCTCCACCTGCAAAACCATCTCTCCTCTGCTCCAGCAAATCCTCGAAGCGGGAGTGGGGGAACAGGAAGGCGGAGTGCTGTTTGCGGAAGTGGAATATGATGCGCCGGATGTTATGAGTGAGGGGTTGGGGGTGAGGTATATGGTGAGGAGTGTACCGAGGTCTAGTGGGGTTTGGAGGGGAGAGGTGATGGGTGGGGAGGGGGAGAGGTTGGGGAGTAGAGAAATTCAGGATTTGGGGAGGGAGGGGTTGGAGGAGTGGGTGAGGGGGGCGGCGAGGAGAGGGCGCGAGTGGAGAGAGGGCATCCGGGGGAGAGGGACTTTTTGGGGGGGTTGTGGAAGGGTTGGGGGAAATGAGGGGGGGTGTTTGTTTTGTTTTTTATGTATAAATAGATGGTTTGGTATTCGCTTTGTGGTTATATATATATTTATATCAGATATTCCCATATCATATCACATCATAAAATCAAATGGCTCCAAAATTCAAATACAGTATATATATATCCACAGCATCAACCGATCTATATAACATTACCCCTTCCCTCCCCTCCCTCCCTTAATCCTCCCATTTATTGAATAGAAAACATATATCTCATATCTCACACAAGCATATCACACATCTCACCCCCCCCTCCCC